ATATATATATATATATATATAAAGTTAACAGGAATAAGAATACTAAATAAAACTAAAGAGTATTTTTAAGAAATCTTAAAACAAAGAATATGTAACACTCTATAGTCACGGAAACCCTCATACATATGGTGGCCACCACGCATCTCATGAAGATTCCCCGGATTCTTTAAGTAGCTGTAAGTTGTCAAAAGTGCCCAGACCCGGGATCGAACCGGGGACTTTTAGATCTTCAGTCTAACGCTCTCCCAACTGAACTATCTAGGCATGTCTTATTATGGCTTAACTATATTAAACATATCGATTATCTTTTTAATTGTATTTATAAGTTCGCTGATATTGTTAGGACAAGGAATTTTTAAATAACAAAATCGAATAGATTGCTACAGAACTGACCTTTTAAATTCTAACCTCCATTTTTATTTCTTTTAATTTCTAAACAAAATAGTTATGTAATAATACCAAACCCCCTTCAATTTGTAACACCTAATTATTCTTCTAACTTCTAAATAGATTATTAATCCCCTATTCATTTTTAACCCCTTTTCCAGAGTGTCTTCTAACTCCTAAGTAAAATGTCTTTATTTCTATGGTTCGTTATTTTGGTCACAGAAATGAGCATCAAGTGTAAAATACCATATTTAGTGCATTTCGTGTTCCTATAAAACAATTATTATGGAAGGAAGCATAGTTGGGTGAAATTCGCAGGAGAATGAAATTTGAAACGACCTGGTTTTGCTGAAAATAGCTTTTTATGATTGTTTGTCAGTTTGTCTCATTGTTTGGCAGTCTCTCTCCCTTTCTCTCACCCTCTCCCTAGGTTAACTATTCCCTAATGTCCCAAAAGCTACATCGCCGTGCACACATTCCTATACTTAGTCCAATTTCAGGAAAGAAAATAACTGGCAACTCACTATGGACTTTGGAGTACTCTTGTTTCTGTTTTGAAAAGAAACAAGAGAGTGGTGAATGTAGGAAATTCCAATTAAAAAAGACGGAAATAAAATTGTATAGACACTGTATAAACAATATATAGGTAAAATTATTAGTAAAATCTTATAATAACAGACGGCGAATCGAAGTTGTCCAGAGCCCGGCTTGAGATGCCAACTTTTCCTTTCCTGAGACTAAACCCATTATGGACACTAAAATCCTCACAAACATGGCCGCCACACGTTTCAAGAAGATCCCCCGGCCATTACCGAAGTCCATCTGACAGTGACATTTTTAGATAGCCCGAATTAATAAAATTGCCCAGCCCCGTGATCTAGGCCTAATTAAATCATGATATTTTTATATTGAATACATTGAATAATTTTCAATAGTGTGACTCTGGTGATATTGTTAGGACAAAGAATACTTAGTAGCAATAGCAAATAGATAGCTTATATGCCTTTCTAATTTCTAACCTCCATTTTTACTTCTATTCTAACTTCCAAATAAAATTGCTATGTAACAATATTAACTCTACAATTTCTAAAATTTCTTCTAACTTTCCTCCTGGTTTCTAAGTCATTAACTTCCCGTCATCTTCCTAATCTTCATTCCAGTGATACAGGATTCAAATTCAAAACACTTTATTGCATTAATTACAGTGGGTATTGTAATTGCATGTATGGTGTTTGCATCATGGCTGAACTATCGTGCTAGCCTTGGTTTTAAGCTCCTGATTTTATTAAATGTCTTGGTGGTATTTCGAATATTTTCTGGTAGCTGGCTCCATGCGTTTGCATATTTCTTGCCCCAGTTCCTGTATTCGATATTTTGATATATAAAGTTATTCTGCCTTGTATGGACACCCGTTATGTTATTTGTTGTCAATATAGGTAATAACCATATTAGGTAATTTCCTTGAATAATGCTATGGACTAGAAAACATGTTTATTTTTGTTGTACTTTTAACATTTTAGCTTGTTTATATGTGGTGTGAGGTGGTCATATTTATTTACACTTCCTAGTACTACTCTTGAAGCGAAGCCCTGTAGATTTTGTGTCCTTTGAATTTTGTTTGTGGAGCACCGGATATCCAGACGGTAATTAATGAGGCTAAGTGCTAGTGTTTATAAAACATGTCTTGTTTCTGTGGGTATTTTATGTTTTTTATGTTACTTAAATATATCAGAGTACCAACTACACTGGTCACATCAGTGGTCAGTGTAGTTGGTATGAATAACATAATGAATGACACACTGACCACATCAGTTACCTATGTTATTGATTGTTTGTTTTTTCCTATTAATTCATTTAGATTGATTATAGAGGCATGAAAGAATTGAGAACTCATTTATGAATATAATTAATAAAATTGGGCCTAGGGTGGAGCCTTGTGGAACACCGAGCGAAACTGGTTGCTTTGATGATACTTTTTCATGGATTTTGACTGATTTGCTTCCCGCGGACAGGTATTTTTTTAACCAAAAGTTATCAGTTTCGTGATTCGTTAGTTTATTGTGTAGTATTTAATGGCTGGCACTGCCAAAGGCATTCGATAAATTGAATTTATCTGGTCTATTTTATAAATTTCATTTGTGACTTTTTGTAACGCTGTTATGATAATTTGCTCACTAAAGCCGTGTTGCATGTCAGATATAAAGTTATTCCAAAAATGCTTTTCATTGGTTTGCAACCATTTTATCGAGAACTTTAAATATTGCTGGGAGTATAGTGATGGTCTGCAAAGAAGTTATTCAAGTATACTGTTATCTATGAAATTTAGGGAAACGTGTTATTAGAATCGTTTCTACATTCATTGAACTTACTTGAAAATTTATTTTCGCATAATGGATGAGTGTTTCACATTTACGTTGATATTCCTTCTGAAGGGTGGTGTCAGATCTGTTTAACCTGAGAGAGTATCATTTATATAATTTAAGCCTCTCTTAATGTCATTTATCCAAGGGGCGGGAGGACGTCCATTTTTGTTTTAAAAGGAGCAGAGGCATCGATGCCGTTCTTTATCACAATTTTTAGACCATTAACTTGTCTTTCGACGTCATCTGTTGTCAAGATCTCTGACAGTGACGTTGGCTTTAACATATTGGCAGAGTAACTGAGGACCGTAATGCGTTAAGTCGCGAGTTTTAGTGATCGGTTTCCGCTTTGGGTTTTCATCATTTAAGATCATGGTTAAGGACTCGTGATCAGCAATTTGGCATGGGATAGCGTCTGTGTGAAGTATAATATCGGACCTGTTTATTATAATCCTTGTAGGCATGTGCATCAGTTGTTTTAATTTATTATTATGAATTATCCCAGTTAGCTTTGTATTTTTATTTATTTAGATCATTTAAACACCTAAGATAAAAAAGGTTTTCTTTTTTATTGACATTTCTTTGAAAATATTTTCAAGATAGTTAAAGGATTGTGTGGTGGCATGAGGGTGTCTATAGATTGTGCAGACGAGGAAGGAAGGATACATACTGCTTTATACGATTCCATCTCCATGACCTGCATCACATCTGTAAACATGAAAGTTTGGAAACTGTTATATATTTTTTGGTGAAGCCATGTTTCACTGATAAATAAAATATCAATATTTCTCTCCTTAATTATCAGTTCAATTTCTTCGAAGTGACCGTGGACACCTTGCATTGATGTGTTCTATTCTGATGGTGTTTAGTGCTATGACCGCCGGATTTGCAACATTCTACTCATCTTTGTACTTGTTTCTATGAAGGATCACTTTTACATTATCAGGAAAGACGTCGGACTTTAAGAAACGATCTGGGTTTAGTGCCAGGTATAAGATATTATATTTAGTGCATTTCTTGTCCCTATTAAACAAATATGGAAGTAGCGAGCAACTGTGAAATAGAGCTAATTTTCTCTCTCTCTGTCTCTCCTCTGATTAAGCTGTAATATATTATGCTGAAAATAGCGAATGGTTTTGAAATCTCCTCTGAGCTGTAGCACAGTGCGTGATCTCTCTCTCTCCTTTGATTGAGTTGCAACATAGTGCGAGATCCTCTCCCTCTCCCCCTCCCCACTCCCTCCCTCCCTTGGTGAGCTACTCCCTAATCCTCCAAAAGTTACCCTGGTGTGTTCAGTCTCGGGAAAGAATAAAAATTAGCAACTCACCTTGGACCCTGGAGGACTCCGATTCGCTCCGAGTGTTGAAGGCAGTAAAATAAATCAATAAAATAAGTAAAAAAGATAAATGAATATGATAAGAATATGAATGACATAAAATTAAACTTAAAAGAGCGTTGTATAAAAATTCTAAAAACACAAAACACGTAAACACATTAGTATTAAATATCAACAGAAAAAAACAACAACAACAAAAAAACCCAGTGAGTTGGAGTTGTATAGAATCCGGCGTGAGTTGCCATTTTTCTTTTCTTGAGACTGTTGCACAGTAGTCCATCAAACAGTGGCATTTCCAGGCACCCTGTGAGTTACCAAAAGTGCCCAGACCCGGGATCGAACCGGGGACCTTTAGATCTTCAGTCTAACGCTCTCCCAACTGAGCTATCTAGGCCTAGTTATACTATGATATCGTTGTACTAAACTCATCGAATATTTTCCAATGGTGTTTATGAATTCGCTGATATTGGTTGGATAAGGAATGCTTAGTAACATAAGCACATAGATTGCTTATGTGCCAGTATTAAGCCCTTCTAATTTCTAACCTCCACTTTTATTTAAGATTATTAAAATGGTTATGTAACATTAACTCCCTTGCACTTTAAAACAACCCTTCTATTCTTTTCCTTCTAACTTCATACAGTAACAAAGTCCTTAGCACTCCCCTAATTTCTTTGTAACTTCTAAACAGATTATTAACCTCCCATCATCTTCCTAAACCTCATTCCAGTGTCCCTTTCAAGTTCTAAGGAAAATATTATTATCTCAGTGGTTAATACACTGTATATAGGGTTCTGTTGGAATATGCATTATTTTGATCACCAGAATTAGTACCAAATATAAAATCTATCAAACACATTGGGCCTATGAAACGTTTATAATGGAAGGAAGATTAATTAGGTGAAATTCTCATTGGGATGAAATTTGAATCTAGGTGATTTTGTGCTGATAGAGTTAATAGAGATAGAGAGGAGAATAAAAGTCGATACAAGTCGTTAAAAAAACATCAAACACACAACACCAATAATACTCATAAACACATACAACACTCACCCAACACACACACACAATACTTAAAACACCCTTCCACACGCACACACACACACACACACACACAACACTTAAAACGCCCAACCACACACACACACACAAAACATTTAAAACACCCAACCAACCAACCACACACACACACACACACACACACACACACACACACACACACACACACACACACACACACACACACACACACATACACACACACATACACACACACCCAACCACACACACACACACACACACACACCCAACCACACACACACACACACACACACACACACACACACACACACACACACACACACACACACACACACACACACACACACACACACAACAAACCATTTCTAACCCAAACTCCTTTTTTCCCCCCACCCAAACAGCACACTCAGTCGGTTGTGAAGAAGGCTGGCTAACTTTCAACAACTACTGCTACTGGTATTCTGGCGAAACCGAATACAACGTTCTGTCATTCAACGAAGCGAGAGATGACTGTAAAAGTAAAGGAGCAGATATGGTGTCCATTCATTCACAGGAAGAGAATGAATTTGTTTATTCTATGATTTCGGAAGGGAGTGAGTATTTTTTGTGAATGAAGATGTTTTTTTTTGTTTTTTGCTTTCTTCTTCTTCTTCTTCTTCTTCTTCTTATTATTATCACAATTATCATTATTATTAATATTAGTAGTAGTAATAGCAGAAACATTATTATGATCATTATTGTTGTTATTATTATTATTATTATTATTATTATTATTATTATTAGGATTATGATCTTTATCATCATCATTATTATTATTATTATTATTATTATTATTAACATTGTTAT